AGGCTACTCAAATATTTTAAAGGAAATGTAACTCTTCCAATTTTAGAAAAGTTTGATCTATGCAAAAGTAAATCTTTCATTTCAACTGTGATTCAGTATAACTGAAGTAGGTCATGCTTTATTTTGGGTCAATGAATGCAAAGGCAATTAGTGTAATTACTGTGAACTATAATTGCATCTTTTTCTCCATCTTAGTTTAGTTTTGACTGTATTTTTCAACTACAGTCTTCTATTGCGGCTCTTCTCTTTGTTTGTAAGCTTTGGAACTCCTTTTTGCCACAGCATGCAGAAGAGACAGACATCTGTATAAGCTGCAGGCTCTTCTTATTTCCATTATGTCAAATTCATTTTGAAGTTAAGCATCAGAAATTGTGCAGTCAAGTTCATTCTGGGCCAGGACATCAGGGCTGTGCACTCAAGCTCAGAACAGCTACTTTGCTTATTGTATAATCCTTCTTAAGGGAAGTGAGCCCATTTATAATAGGAAAAAAAAAAACAGAAAAAAAAACACAAAAAAACCCCCCAAACAAACAACCAAACAAAAAAACCCCCAACAAACAAACAACAACAACCCCCCCCACACCTTTAATATATATTAAACTCTTCTGTCCACACTTGCAACTTTTTCTGTGGGGGTTTTTTTACGCCCTTTTTTTGATTATTCATAATATAAATTATCTTAAATTAATTGAAAGCAGTAATTGAAATCAGATTTAACAATTTGCAGTGAAATCATGGCTAGGCTTCGCAAACGAAGATTTGGGACATAATATCAGGGAAAAATGTCACTGCACACATTATTATAGGACACTATATTAAGACATTGTTTTGGAGGAAGAGGTAAGACAGAGTATTATTTGCTTTATTCTTTGAGAATTCTTGTTCATTTTGGTCCAATGGTTAAAATTTTATTAAAACAAATAAATTAATGGTGTCTTTCATCAAGATTTAATGTTGCTACATGAATATGCTTTTAAATATTGGGAAAAGATACCCAGAAATCAAGTTAGCATCCACTCTTCTTGTTCTTTACAAAGTCAGAGTAGGTAATAAGTAATTTCTAAATTTAACATCTATTATTCTACAGTGAGAATCTGTCACTGTTGGTGAGCAAAATAACATGCAAACAGACTTCTACATACCTATTTGGCAATGGTTATTTGATTTTTCTCTTCAGCTCTGCATCTTCAAGAGAGAAAGATCACTGTTTTGATAACCTAATGTAGTCAGGTCATTTATCTGTTCGACATAATCTGGTTTGTCTAGCTTGGCTATCATCTAGATAAAACTTGCAAAAGATAGAATTTATGTGTTATTTTTCTCTCTGACATTTCTTTTCTTGCTTTTTTGATTTCAGCCACTCAGATCTGTAAGTCCTCCTCAAATGTCCATCCCCAACTACGTCCCAACAGAAAAGTGAAATTAATTTCAGAGAAATTCATTCACTACGATGTGTTGTGTTTGCACCTTAGGCAATCATTTCGTCTAGAACAAAGGTGCAAAGGGCAGAAAGTAGCCAGCTGCTATTTCAGGGGCTTCTTGTTTTTCTGTGGAAAAGTGAAAAATGTTTGTGTAACAACTTTGGTGAAATTCCTGTCCTATATTTATGGTCTTGATGCATTATTAGGATTTTACTTATTAGCTCACATATACATAGAACTATTGTTTCTCAGAGGAGAAGGAAAATAAGCATGTGATTTCCTTATTCTTTCATGCATTGTCACCTTTTGTCTATAGAGAGGTTATTGGGATATATTATTGATTTTTAAAGCTTCTGTACTATTAACACAACTCTTACAGACCATGGTGTTTCCCTATATTGCTTAAGAAAGGTTTGTGTTCTGAAAACTACAGTCTTCAAGCTTAAGCCTAAACAAAATTAATCTTTTTTTTTCTTAGAACTTTCTAATGCTGACTGGGTAACATCATCTATATACATCTCCCAAACCCAGGGGCTCAGGAACTCAGGAGTGTTCTTTAAGCTTTTCTTCTTCTTTCTTGGGACTCTCTCAAACTCAAGTTATGAATGGGAAAAGCACATAGATAAAAACTAAGCTCTCTATTAAAGGAAAGGTTCCATGGCTTCAAAATTGTCTTCTTCAGAGACACAGAATCAAGGCTGATGTTTTCTTTATGGCATGATATAGACACTGTGCTTCCTAAATTTAAGGATTCTGTTCAGACTTCCACAAAACTGTGAATATAGTGCTGAGTTACTGAGTAATTGTAGTGCTGGTACATCTGTGCCCAATGCAATGCAGTATCAAGTGTCATAGCACCATCACTGAGTGAAAGTAGGGCACAGCACCTCTTTTTCTAGAGCAGTAGCCTAAACTATTATGCCATCTAAGGAGTCTTTCTGCTGTGCCTTTTGCAACTGGACATGCCTATCTCGTATTGGCCTTTTTAGCCACCAACGTGCTTGCAACAAACGTGGGTAGAGCCCTTCCCAAATCTTTGTTTGTGAAGCCTAGCCATGATACGAAAGCCTAAACTACGTTCCTTTCAGGAAGCTGGTATTCTCTACAGAGGTTGCAAACTAAATTCTAATTGACATAATCTTCCTCTTTAGGTATTTTCACTGTTGTACATAAAAATAGATTTTATGACTACAAAAGCTCTGATTGTCTTCTTTGTTCTTTTAGAATTCACTTAATTATTGCCCTCTAAGGGGCTACATTCCTTGACTGAATTTCAGTGAGTTTTCCCCAGGGGTTTAGGTACACAACTTTGATGAAAGCTTTTGAACGTTTGGCTCAGGTTTTTTTTAAAGTTTCCTCCAGCTATTAAAGCAGCCATTACTTTCAAACATGGAGATGGGACAACTGAGGACTCTTGTATATGGACAAATTATGATGTTTATTATATTATATTTGCCCTACGTTTAGAATTTCTGTGTACAGTCAACAGTTCTACAGTATCATGTAGTCTGCTGGATCAGAAACTGTGGCTTAATTGCCTGGGCTTAATATTATTGCTATCACAAATTAGTTGTTCTAAGAGTAGTGGTCTAAATGTCTTTCACATACTAGTAAGGACTAGATTTTGTCATGCAAATATGTGGGAAACTTTTTGTGATGAGGCTGGTGAGACACTGGCACAGGTTACCCAGAGTAGTGTTGGATGCCCCATGCCTGGAAACATTCAAGGTCAGATTGGTGGGGGGTCTGAGCAGCATGATTTAGTTGAACATGTCACTGCTCATACAGAGGTCCTTTAAAGAACCCAAACTATTCTATAACTCTTAGGATTCTATGGTAAATAATAATTGTGTTCCCAAAGCATCACATTTTCTTAAATTTGAAGAAAGAATCAATTTAAGATGGGCCAGTTTCTAAACGTTATGGATCAAAATGAATGTGTTCATAACAGACTTCATAGCTGTTATTTGTGAAGTTCTATGGAATCAGATTTATTTTTGTAAGCCTTAAAAAGTTGTTAAAATTTAAATAAAATAAACCCCATGTTTTCAATATGGGCTTAGCCATCTTCTGACAGTAGTTGATAAACACGAATAGTTGCAATAGCTGATATTTTGGGTCTTGTGTTTTGATGTTTTTGCCTGTTAAATCTATGGCATGGTTCTCCTTCCTTCCTTGACCTTTATTTCCTTTCTTCTTTTCTTTTCTTGAACAAACAGAAATGGATTTCTGTCCTGCTGAGCTTGTTACATGTCAAAAGTTTCCTGTTCTTCACTAAAACATTATGAAGCAGAAACCTGTAGAAGTGAGAGGAAGGACAGATAAATACATAAATAAATAAATACATAATTAAATAAAGGAAATCTCACACACTGCAGTATAGCCAGACAGTAACACTCCTACTGGAAAGCAAGATTCAAGTTATTGGAGCAGTTAATAATTCTGTATATGAATTCTGTCTCTTCCTTGGGATACTGCCGACAAAACATATAACATCACAAATACAAATCAGAGTTCGGAAACTGCCCCTGAGTTTTAGGGGTGTATTATCTACTTTGTTCAGAGACCCCTGGTGGCCTAGTGGTTAGCGTGCAGGACTTTCACTGCTGCGACCACGGGTTCAAATCCCGGTCTCCTGGCCTGATGGAGGTCGTTAGCCCTGTGTGGCCATCCATCTATGAGAAGGACACTCTAAACAAACCTACGTCCTGAGGACCTCACTGCCATTGTCCAAGCTTGCTTGGCCCCGGCAGATGAACCTTAGGATTAAAGGGTGGGCTCAGTTCAGCGCAGGCTGTGTCTCACCTAAAAAATCCATTGCGCAGGCTGGAAAGGTAAAAGACCTTTCCCCAAATCTTCGTTCGCGAAGATGGGCCATTATTATCTACTTTGTTCTACTTTGTTCCACTTCCATTGCTGATGCAGTAAAAAATTATTAGGAAAACAGAACCCTATGGAAAGATCTGTGAATGTTGAACAGGCAGTTTTGGGGAAGCTGCATCTGATAACTTTATTGCTGTCATGTGCAAGATACGGGGATATTTCTAGGCAATAGTAGGAGCAGTTGCATTAACATAAAATAGTAGATGGCGTTTTTGCTCTGAAAGTTCTCCAACTAGCAGCTTTTGTTAGACAAGCTCCATATACCTCCAGGTTTCCCTGATGCTACTGGCTGGGCTTGCAGAGTTTGGCCAAAGGAGCGGTTTCCTTGCTCGCAGTATTCTACAGTGCCCTTCAAGCACCACGGAAAATTTATCTTTTGAACTTGTATGTTAAATGATATTGATTGATGAAGAGATAACAAAAAATATTAACTCAGTAGAGCAGGAAACCCCCAAAAATAGTGGTCAGAGAATATGCATGGATAAGCATAGTCAAACTATGGTGTGTATGGTACTAGTGCATATCTTCATGGGCAGTCATAGGTAATATCCTCTCAGCGTTTGTGATTTTGTACTTTTGCTGTTGCATCTGGGCAATCTGGCCTTTACATCTGCTAGATATTTACAGAAAAACCCCACTTCTGTCTTTCTGTCTAATGTTGAACTACTCAGACCTGTTTTTTCCTTGCATCTGTAGGTGAACGGTATTGATCTTCGAGGTGCTACCCACGAGCAGGCTGCAGCTGCGCTCAAAGGAGCCGGGCAGACGGTAACAATCATAGCACAATACCAGCCAGAGGGTAAGTAAAATAATAGACTTAAAGACATATGGTAAAAGAGAAATGCTTTGAAGCCACTCATTTAACAGGATGAGGCTGTTGTAGATAGTGAGTTTCCCAGCTATCATCAGCAGTCGTCTGGAATGAAAATTAATGTGACAATTCTATCCAAAGGAAATAGAATTATTTTTGTCACAGACTTGGCTTTTAGAAGTATTTTATGCAACTATAAGAGCTATCTTTAAATGTGGATATAATAAGACAATAATCAACACTTGTTAATCATTATATTCTCGTTAGTGCTTATTTTATGTTCTCTTCTATTCTCCTCCTGGAGACAGGTAGTGCAAAAGATAGTTTAAGAAAGAACAGAAACACAAGGTAACAGGACATTAATTCTAATCTGACTGAAGCAAAAGATAAATGCTTCCTGCAGAATGTGTAGAGCTTCCCACTATTACTTGTGGATGACAGTTTCCTTGTACCTTCAGGGCAATTATATCTGGATAACAAGTACTTATTAGAGAAAATGACAGCTTTCTAAATAAAAGCATCAACAGGAAATTGAGCAAAATGTCAGTTATTTAAGGTGGGATGTATCTCATCCAAATTTTCCTGTCTAATATTTAGCTTTCCAGTGGTTGAGCTAGTTTCAGTGGGAAGAAGTAGTCACTGATTGGTTTGGAGTCCAGAATTAAAGGTCAGAACTCCTTCTTGCTGTCCATGAGAAGTGACTCAAATGACTATCTGAGGTTCTCAAGGAATTGGTGAGATGAATATTACTTTCTGATGGGAACTAAAGATGGTTTTCCTCTGCAGTCATTGTTACTTTGGAAGTCTTGCCAGATTAATTCAGCAAGTACAGGTATCTGTGAGAGACTTGCTGGCATCATGTTATCAGTTTTCAGTAAACAATTCTAGCTCAATTCACAAGTCCTGCTATGACCTGTTAACATAAGCTGTTGATTCTGCCTGATTGTGCCCAGCCTAGGACACATGTAGGTCTCAGGTGAAACAATAGCTCTAATAATATGCTCATCCAGTCAGGTTTCTTTCAGGGAAGATGAATTAGCACTGCCAGAATTTATCCAATATAATATTTTCTTTTGTTTCTCTGGATCATGATGTTAGCACACAATGAGAAAAACAGCTGCTATTTTAGTTAAATGTACAATTGTGCTTCGGATCTGGAATCGAGCATCCATTTATTAGTTTATCTGCACTTGAGTCACCAAACAGAATAAATACTAAGAAATGGACAGAGAAGAGCAAATGAAATTTAAAGTGTCTATCTTTATTTAAATAAATTGAACATATTAATACCAAAATGCTTAAGTAATAATCAGAGTTATTTCAAAGAAAAAGTATTGAAAAGCAATTCCATTACAGATAGCTATCAGCACTGGATTCTGAATGAAACCATGTTCCTATTAATTCCGGCAGTCTTGTTTGCTGTCTGGTGATTTTATACTGCAATTATCACCATGGTGTCTGAGCACTTGTAGCTATCACTGGCATTTCACAGTTGTTCTATGCCATTGTTAATACACAAAAAAGTACAGTGCTTGACAGCTTTTTCCCATTATAATTGAACTTTTAGTAGACATACTTTTACCTTACATTTTAGAAGCTTTATACTGTGTCAGATTCAGTTTTGGTGAACATGCAATTCAAATGATGCTGATGAAATCCATCAACTATTATATTGCATATTTATTCCATTTTTCCTCTGACATTCCTCCATTCACCAAAAACCCTGTTGAGGGCAGACTAGTCCCGACTGCATGACTTCTTGTTAGTGAAGCAAAGCCAGTTTTCTGTTTCAGCCAAATAGCTCAAAACACACAAAGAGACTGAAGCTTGTGAAGAACAGGGCCCAAAAGTTAGCCTTTTTATAGTAAATGATGGAATCTTTAAAGGTAGTGACAGTATACTCAGTAGTTGTCCAGCATGTGTTATCTTACTGCTGAAATATTTAATTTTAATCTGAGGTGCTGGTTAATGCAAACTGTGTAAATCAGATGTGAAATTAATATTTCTTTATTGAAAAGTCCCTAACAACAAAAAAAAAAAAGAAACAATTTCTAAACAATTATTTGAGTAACTCTCACAGAGAATTACTTAGGGATTTACAGGTCACACCAAAAGACAAACACACTCCATAAAAGGATAAATACTTTGTTTATTTTAAAGGTGTTGCAGGACTCTTTTTGTCCTTTCTTTGAAATTTATACTCAATTTTGTATTTACTGTATCTCCTCTTTTTGCATATATTGGAACATTGTCATAAAATAGAGTCTTAAAACTGTACAACTGTGCTTCCCACAGGGGCTTCTCACTTTAAAACACTTATAAAACTTATAAAGTACATAAGCAAAGTAGGCCTGTAGCTTGATTCTTCCATTTTCACGCTGGAAGGTCTGAGCTGTTGTTACTACAACTTCAGGTTTTTTGGGGACATCCAAGAATAGCCACTACAAATATTAGCAGTACATTTTTTTAATCTTTTCCAGATTATTTCCAGCCTTTAGATGTTGTTGCAAACAAAAACTTTCAATGAAACCTTTAGCTATTGATATTTCAGGTATTGAGCGATGATGACGTAAGTGCCAGTCTATACTATAAGCCAGATGATGTTTAGTAATTAAAATTGTGAGTAGAAAAAGCTTATGCTCCAATAATTTAGTTTTTATGCAATAAAGAAAAGCTTACAGCACATTTGTCTTGGCACTTTCTCCAAAAACAAATATCATGCTATGCTGTGGAAAGAAAATTAGGTGAATACTGTAGAAACAACTTTCAAAGTTTAAATGTCCCTTTCCTGTTTCTAACAGAAGTTCATCTAAACCTTCTATGATCTCCCCTTACATTTATATATAGAGACTTCACAGCAAATCTCATGAGAATGGTAACTCCTGCAAAAAAAAACTAGTGCTTGCCATCAAATAGATTTTCCCCTAGATATTATGGCCCTTCGTTTTCTCATCCTATCTGTAATACGCACATGCAGAGAAGAGCTCAGATAAGACAGAATAGCATCACATTTTTTTAAAATGCTGTCAGACCTGTGGTTGGTGATGGTGCTCAGCTGAACCATGGTGCCTGTCCCTCAGAAGAAAATAGTCTTGGTGAAAATTCTGTAAAAGAGCACAGATACTGCGAACAAAGAGAGAATAGAAGATACAAGAGGTGATTTCATGCGAAGGAGTGGAAATAAAAGGGATAGTATAAAAAAATGAAGAACCAGCTCCTCAGTTCTTTTGCTCTTCAGTCTCTGTTTTCCTCATTTACACTCACAACCTTTGTTTCCCTCATCTCTCTGAGAAATAGAAGATAAAACAGAAGTATGAAAATCCCAACAGAAATGCATATTCCATGAAAAAAATTATGAAAGGATATTAAGAAAAAGAAGAAAACAAATCACAAAAAATGAAAAAATCAGAGCTCAGCAGTATGTATTTAGGAAAAGCGGCCACAACTCTGGGCTTTTTGAGTGATTCCTTACTTTTATTTTAAAAATTGAAAAGAACCTGTGTACTGTATATTATGTACACATGTACTATGTTAATGGAGGTCAAGTAAAGTTAAGCATCATGATCTCTTAATTTTCATTGTGGATATAGTTCATATGGAGGTTTATGGATGTACTCAGTCTACACTAACTAGCCCTTGCAGGCTTCAGAAAGATAACCTTTTATATTCACGCGAAGCTCAGATCTTCTGCACATTAAATTAAATAGAATTTGAGGACCAAGAGCTACTTAGAACAGAATTAGAATAGGAACCTATCATTTATATTTAGCTTTGCACTCCAATTTTTAGTATTCTTGGAAGCATTTTAACTTTTCTTCCAGCTTAGCAACTCTCAGATCTCTTTTAAAACATGTACAGGTGTGAAGCCAGTACAAAATAAAAACGTGAGCCTGGAAAATAGTCTTAGGGTGGAACAGTGTGTCCCTATTAAAAAGTTAAGTAGAAATTAAAATGGGAATATATATATTACACAGGGAAACACATTTTACACTTCCGGGTTTTTATTCAGAACATATTTTGATTTTAATGGCAACAGTTGCAAATTATAGCTGAGCATGGAAGGAATTAAGAAAAAAAAAACATTTTGTCAGTTAAAATTAAATACATTTTTAAAGGAAAGTGAACTTTGGTTGGAATAGTGACAAGTTGTCCTGAAAGACACAGCTTCGAATTGGAGCAGACAGAATACTGAAGCTGCTAAAAAGCTTTATTTTAGTCTCAAATGTTTACGTTCCTTCCCCCCTGCAGCAGCGTGAAAGGATAAAGTGTAACCCTGAGGTTTTTGCAAAATGTTCTGTGCCAGTGGTCTGCAAGCTGAGCTGTGCTGCATTGCAGTACCTCTGCAGCTATTGCCTCGCCACAGTCCCTGGAAAATTGTTAAACTGATTAGAAGTTTCATGTGCTTTAAATCTTTCAAGTGAGCCAATTAACTAGCTCTCTAACTAGCTTGCATATAGGAAAAACATTCATTGATTAGAGTTTGATTAGTGCATCTAACACTGAAGAGGTTAAAAAGTTATTACAGTGAGAGAGTTTCTGCTTTATTGCTTTTTGAGTTAGTTGCTGCTTGGTGGCTGTGCTCTGTGCCTGTCATGAGGTGAGTAGCTGAGCTTTAGCTACAGAAAGAATATGAGAGGGAGAGACACTGTGATAGGCAGTGTCTGTCAGGCATTAGCTAAGGAAATTTTTGAAGAGCTGCACCTAAACATCTCCTGGTAGCTGTGATACTAAATTCACTCTTTAGTTCTTTTGCTCCTGAATCTGCGAGGCTCCAAAGTGCATTGGAACAGACCTAACTTTCATAAGCAGCCCCAGCTTTTATGAAAGCATAATCCTTGTCTTACACATTTGTCTGACCTGCAGATGCATGAGATCTGCTCTTTTGAAAATATCAGACAAAAAATCCAGGGGTCACTTTTGCAGGTCTCTGAAATCATAGATAATTTTTAGCTCTTTCCCCCTTTTCATTCCCTGTTCCTGCCTCAAAA